TTAGCTAGCTAGCTAGCGTTGACATGGAGTTGTTGGTTAGCTAGCTAGCTAGCGTTGACAGGGAGTTGTTGGTTAGCTAGCTAGCTAGCGTTGACAGGGAGTTGTTTGGTTAGATCTGCTAGCTAGCGTTGACATGGGAGTTGTTGGTTAGCTAGCTAGCTAGCGTTGACAGGGAGTTGTTGGTTAGCTAGCTAGCTAGCGTTGACAGGAGTTGTTGGTTAGCTAGCTAGCTAGCGTTGACAGGGAGTTGTTGGTTAGCTAGCTAGCTAGCGTTGACATGGGAGTTGTTGGTTAGCTAGCTAGCTAGCAGTTGACAGGAGTGTTGGTTAGCTAGCTAGCTAGCGTTGGACATGGAGATGTTGGTATAGCTAGCTTAGCTAGCGTTTTTGACAGGGGGAAGTTGTTGGTTAGCTAGCTAGCTAGCCGTTGACATGGAGTTGTTGGTTAGCTAGCTAGCTAGCGTTTGAACATGGAGTAGTTGTTGGTTTAGCTAGCTAGCTAGCGTTTGACATGGGTTGTTGTCTAGCTAGCTAAGCTAGCATTGACATGAAATGAGTCAAAACACCTCAAAGCTAGCATAAAGGCACAGGGTTCTTCTATCTGATAGAGCAACGTTGTTAGTTTCCCTACAAGCCTTTCGTTCTAATAATTTTTCGTTCCCACGGGGAATGAAAAAAATAATAATAAATAATGTATGCACTCACTCAATCTGTAAGTCGCTCACGGATAAGAGCGTCTCTGCCTAAATGACTTAAAATGTATAAAAATGTAAATAATATATCATATTCTTGACCTTCAACAGATGCACAGCCTTTGGCAGGAAAACAACTCAGTTGGGAGAGTAAAAGTGTTCCGTTTCAAGTTGTGTGCACAAAGATGTATGAATGCCACCAGGGGAAATAAATTAACAAGAAGGCAGTACATACAAAGACAGAGCACTGTAATTTATACCATACACTTTTACAACATTAATTTAATTTTAGTAATATTGAAGTACTAACAATGGAATGTTCCTCAATAAAATGTAAGAAGATGGGAACTTTAAACGGGTGACCCAACACTGTGGTCACTAAAGATCCCATGGGGGTGCTTGTATTTGTCCTGTTTTCACTGCACATGTATGTCAACGTGTATTCCTATTATGTAATACTGTGTATGAAAGTACCATGTATGTAAAGTGTATGAATAATGTATATGTAACAACCATGGTTAGGCAGAGATTTGTCCATTCAAGGAATAGTTTTTCTGACTAAAGGCAGAAGGCTTACAGTGGCTTGCGAAAGTATTCACCCACATTGGCATTTTTTCCTATTTTGTTGCCTTACAACCTGGTATTAAAATGGATTTTGGGGGGGTTTGTATCATTTGATTTACACAACATATCTACCACTTTGAAGATGCAAAATATTTTGTATTGTGAAACAAACAAGAAATAAGACAAAAAAACTGAAAACTTGAGCATGCATAACTATTCACCCCCCCAAAGTCAATACTTTGTAGAGCCACCTTTTGCAGCAATTACAGCTGAAAGTCTCTTGGGGTATGTCTCTTTAAGCTTGGCACATCTAGCCACTGGGATTTTTGCCCATTCTTCAAGGCCAAAACTGCTCCAGCTCCTTCAAGTTGGATGGGTTCCGCTGGTGTACCGCAATCTTTAAGTCATACCACAGATTCTCAATTGGATTGAAGTCTGGGCTTTGACTAGGCCATTCCAAGACATTTAAATGTTTCCCCTTAAACCAGTCGAGTGTTGCATTAGCAGTATGCTTAGGGTCATTGTCCTGCTGGAAGGTGAACCTCCGTCCCAGTCTGAAATCTCTGGAAGACTGAAACAGGTTTCCCTCAAGAATTTCCCTGTATTTAGACCCATCCATCATTCCTTCAATTCTGACCAGTTTCCCAGTCCTTGCCAATGAAAAACATCCCCACAGCATGATGCTGCCACCACCATGCTTCACTGTGGGGATGGTGTTCTCGGGGTAATGAGAGGTGTTGGGTTTGCGCCAGACATAGCGTTTTCCTTGATGGCCAAAAAGCTCATTTTAGTCTCATCTGACCAGAGTACATTCTTCCATATGTTTGGGGAGTCTCCCACATGTTTTTTGGCGAACACCAAATGTGTTTGCTTATTTTTTTCTTTAAGCAATGGCTTTTTTCTGGCCACTCTTCTGTAAAGCCCAGCTCTGTGGAGTGTACGGCTTAAAGTGGTCCTATGGACAGATACTCCAATCTCCACTGTGGAGCTTTGCAGCCCCTTCAGGGTTATCTTTGGTCTCTTTGTTGCCTCTCTGATTAATGCCCTCCTTGCCTGGTCCGTTAGTTTTGGTGGGCGGCCCTCTCTTGGCAGGTTTGTTGTGGTGCCATATTCTTTCCATTTTTTTTATAATGGATTTAATGGTGCTCCGTGGGATGTTCAAAGTTTCAGATTTTTTTAAATAACCCAACCCTGATCTGTACTTCTCCACAACTTTGTCCCTGACCTGTTTGGAGAGCTCCTTGTTCTTCGTGGTGCCGCTTGCTTGGTGGTGCCCCTTGCTTAGTGGTGTTGCAGACTCTGGGGCCTTTCAGAACAGGTGTGTATATATACTGAGATCATGTGACACTTAGATTGCACACAGGTGGACTTTATTTAACTAATGATGTGACTTCTGAAGGTAATTGGTTGCATCAGATCTTATTTAGGGGCTTCATAGCAAAGGGGGTGAATACATATGCACACACCACTTTTCCGTTATTTATTTTTTAGAATTTTTTGAAACAAGTAATTTTTTTCATTTCACTTCACCAATTAATTACTATTTTGTGTATGTCCATTACATGAAATCCAAATAAAAATCCATTTAAATTACAGGTGGTAATGCACCAAAATAGGAAAAACACTAAGGGGGATGAATTATTAATACTTTTGCAAGGCACTGTATTTGTGACCAACAGATGCATATCTGTATTCCCAGTCATGTGAAATCCATAGATTAGGGCCTAATTTATTTATTTCAATTGACTAATTTCCTAATTTGAACTGTAACTCAGTAAAATTGTTGCATGTTGCGTTTATATTTTTGTTCAGTAAATATTAGAAATGTTGAAGAGAAATGTAAATTTGGTCAATCTGGGAAAGAATCACTTGGTCATGTGATTATGTTCTGGGTAGATCTTCGGCTCGACTTTGGGTTTAGTAGGGACATCCATTTGCAAACTGATGCTCTTTATGTTTTTGATAGTCCAAGATTCTCCACTACGAAAAGAATGTGATACATTTTATTATAATTCTTGCTAAATATGACATCTATAAAAAATAATAATTTTAAGAAAACACCATCCTATTCAATATTTTTGATGGTAGATTTAAATGCCACATTGAATACTATGCTCTGTAAGAATAAGAAGGTATTGAAATCAATTGATACTCTTAAGCGTTTCACGTCTTTTGTTTTTGTGTATCTGTTTGTTTGTGATGTTTTGTGTTACAATTTTTAAGAAGCATGTATAGATTTCTGAAACACATTTGAATTTGTATCTTTCAAAATGTATGGAATTTCACAACAACAATCACAGCACAGATTGACTTGCTGCTTTTATTTACTTCCTGCTTTTACTTCCTGCTTTTACTTCCTGCTTTTACTTCCGGCTTTTACTTCCTGCTTTGCTCTTATGGGTATACAAAAATGGCTGCCAGTCCATAATGGCATCATTTACTTGAATGGGGACGACCGTTCTATTCATTCTATTTCTGTGGGTAAAACCTGGTGGAGGATGATATCGTCTCAGTCCCATAATATGTATTTTTTTAAACAGGCGTATTGGTTTATTCTCATATCTACAAACATGTGACATACAGTAGTAGGAACAAAACCAATCACAATGTTGATACAGACCAAACATAAACAGCACATAAAATAAAACGTTCCACATTAAGAACTGTCCGAATATCAGAAGAATCCTGTTGCACACGTAGGAGTTCAATAAAGCACACAATGCCTGTAATGTAGTTAATAAAGAATAGTGCTTATTCTTTGAAATCCGTGGAGATGATGTGAGTAGTTACCAAGTCTACCAGAAATAAACACAGAAGTCATATTGTAAAAGAGGAGAGTGCAGAAAGCCTTGCTGTAAGATGAGTGAGAGTCATTTGAAACGTCACCATAATGAAAACAGCCTGGCCTGCATTACTGAAGGAGAAGGCAGAATCCAGAAAATTGATTTGTGAATAATCTGATAACAAAAAATGATGGATACATTACAGTACATTACATTTACATTACATTTTAGTCATTTAGCAGACGCTCTTATCCAGAGCGACTTACAGTTAGTGAATACATATTTTTTTTTATTTTTTTTTTTTTTTTTTATACTGCCCCCCCCGTGGGAATCGAACCCACAACCCTGGCGTTGCAAACGCCATGCTCTATCAACTGAGCTACATCCCTACCGGCCATTCCCTCCCCTACCCTGGACAACGCTGGGCCAATTGTGCGCCGCCCATGAGTCTCCCGGTCGCGGCCGGCTGCGACAGAGCCTGGATTCGAACCAGGATCTCTAGTAGCACAGTTAGCACTGCGATGCAGTGCCTTAGACCACTGCGCCACTCAGGAGACAACCTACATTACATTGTAGGTTCGTTAGATGTATATCTACGTTCTTCTGTTATATCATCCCGAGAGGGGTCATTCAGGTGAGGGCCCTGCCTGGTGTTTCCCCTAGAAATAGAATGACGGGCATGGGGTACACTCAAAATGGAAAGTTGACTTGAATGGGATCATGCATTCTAGTCAGTCTAATTTCTATGGCGTTTCCATTCCTTGCTGTGGTCTCTTCTCTATGCCATCTCTATTGGTTGTTCTTGCAGTGGTGTCTCCGTCTTGCCTTCTTTCACTTTCTTTGGTGCACTTTTGTGATTCTTCCTGAAATTTGATATAAAAGGGCAGTTAGTTATTTGTAGCATAATTAAGCCAAATTACAACAACAAAACAAATCAATCTGTTATATCCTTTTCTTCTTTTTTAATTAAAGAGAATAATGAACAGCGTACTGTATCACCAGAGAATAATGAACAGCGTACTGTATCACCAGATAATAATGTACAGCGTACTGTATCACCAGAGAATAATGAACAGTGTACTGTATCACCAGAGAATAATGTACTGCGTACTGTATCACCAGAGAATAATGTACTGCGTACTGTATCACCAGAGAATAATGTACTGCGTACTGTACTGTACTGCATCACTTACTTGCTCTGCATCACCAGGAAAACAACGACTCCAATAATGATTGCTCCCGTGATCCCAAACACCACTCCCAGAATCAGGGCTGCAGGAAACAGAATAACATTTGAGTGTTTTGTTAACCATAACATAAGTGAATTAATTAATAATAGACTGTTGATTTGGCCTACAGTCGTGGTCAAAAGTTTGGAGAATGACACAAATACTAATTTTCACAAAGTCTGTTGCCTCAGTTGTGATGATGGCAATTTGCATATATATATATATATAATTAACTTAATCCCAAAAAAACATTTCCACTGCATTTCAGCCCTGCCACAAAAGGACCATCTGCCATCTTGTCAGTGATTCTCTCGTTAACACAGGTGAGAGTGTTGACGAGGACAAGGCTGGAGATCACTCTGTCATGCTGATTGAGTTAGAATAACAGACTGGAAGCTTTAAAAGGAGGGTGGTGCTTGAAATCATTGTTCTTCCTCTGTTAACCATGGTTACCTGCAAGGAAACACATGCCGTCATCATTGCTTTGCACAAAAAGGGCTTCACAGGCAAGGATATTGCTGCTAGTAAGATTGCACCTAAATCAACCATTTATCGGATCATCAAGAACTTCAAGGAGAGAAGTTCAATTGTTGTGAAGAAGGCTTCAGGGCGCCCAAGAAAGTCCAGCAAGCGCCAGGACCGTCTCCTAAAGTTGATTCAGCTGCGGGATCAGGGCACCACCAGTGCAGAGCTTGCTCAGGAATGGCAGCAGGCAGGTGTGAGTGCATCTCCACGCACAGTGAGGCAAATACTTTTGGAGGATGGCCTGGTGTCAAGAAGGCCAGCGAGGAAGCCACTTCTATCCAGGAAAAACATCAGGGACAGACTGATATTCTGCAAAAGGTACAGGGATTGGACTGCTGAGGACTGGGGTAAAGCCATTTTCTCTGATGAATCCCCTTTCCGATTATTTGGGGCATCCGGAAAACACCTTGTCCATAGAAGACAAGGTGAGCGCTACCATCAGTCCTGTGTCATGCCAACAGTAAAGCATCCTGAGACCATTCATGTGTGGGGTTGCTTCTCAGCCAAGGGAGTGGGCTCACTCACAATTGAACACAGCCATGAATAAAGAATGGTACCAACACATCCTCCGAGAGCAACTTCTCACAACCATCCAAGAACAGTTTGGTGATGACCAATGCCTTTTCCAGCATGATGGAGCACCTTGCCATAAGGCAAAAGTGATAACTAAGTAGCTCAGGGAACAAAACATCGACATTTTGGGTCCATGGAAACTCCCCAGACCTTAATCCCATTGAGAACTTGTGGTCAATCCTCAAGAGGTGGGTGGACAAACAAAAACCCACAAATTCTGACAAACTCCAAGAATTGATTACGCAAGAATGGGCTGCCATCAGTCAGGATGTGGCCCAGAAGTTAATTGACAGCATGCCAGGGCGGATTGCAGAGGTCTTGAAAAAGAAGGGTCAACACTGCAAATATTGATTATTTGCATAAACTTAATGTAATTGTCAATAAAAGCCTTTGACACTTATGGAATGCTTGTAATTATACTTCAGTATACCATAGTAACATCTGACAAAAATATCTCATAACACTGAAGCAGCGAACTTGTGAAGACCAATACTTGTGTCATTCTCAAAACTTTTGACGACGACTGTACATTTTTGTTGTTGTTTTTGTTGTTATTGAATAGACCTACACTCTATATACAAAGGTACATGGACACCCCTTAAAATTAGTGGATTTTACTATTTCAGCCACAACCGTTGCTGACAGGTGTATAAAATCGAGCACACAGCCATGCAATCTCCATAGACAAACATTGGCAGTAGAATGGCCTGTACTGAAGAGCTCAGTGACTTTCAACGTGGCACCGTCATAGGATGCCACCTTTCCAACAAGTCAGTTGTAAAATATCTGCCCTGCTAGAGCTGCCCCGGTCAACTGTAAGTACTGTAAGTGCTGGCTCCTGAGTGGCGCAGTGGTCTAGAGATCCTGGTTCGAATCCAGGCTCTGTCGCAGCCGGCCGCGACCGGGAGACACATGGGCGGCGCACAATTGGCCCAGGGTAGGGGAGGGAATGGCCGGCAGGGATGTAGCTCAGTTGATAGAGCATAGCGTTTGCAACGCCAGGGTTGTGGGTTCGATTCCCATGGGGGGCCAGTATAAAAAAATAATAAAAATAAATATGTATTCACTAACTGTAAGTCGCTCTGGATAAGAGCGTCTGCTAAATGACTAAAATGTAAATGTTATTGTGAAGTGGAAACGTCTAGGAGCAACAACGGCTCAGCCGCAAGTGGTAGAGAGAGAGCTCACAGAACAGAACGGGACCACACGAGCTCACAGAACGGGACCACCGAGTGCTGAAGCTCGTAAAAATTGTCTGTCCTCGGTTGCAACACTCACTACTGAGTTCCAATCTGCCTCTGGAAGCAACGTCAGCACATGAGCTGTTCGTCGGGAGCTTCATGAAATGCGTTTCCATGGCCGAGCAGCCGCACACAAGCCTAAGATCACCATGCGCAATGCCAATCGTTGGCTGGAGTGTTGTAAAGCTTGCCGCCATTGGACTCTGGAGCAGTGGAAATGCGTTCTCTGGAGTGATGAATCACGCTTCACCATCTGGCAGTCCGATGGACGAATATGGGTTTGGCGGATGCCAGGAGAACGCTACCTGCCTGAATGCATAGTGCCACCTGTAAAGTTTGGTGGAGGAGGAATAAGGGTCTGGGGCTGTTTTTCATGGTTTGGGCCCCTTAGTTCCAGTGAAGGGAAATCTTAACGCTACAGCATACAATGACATCCTAAACGACTCTGTGTTTCCAACTTTTTGGTAACAGTTTGGGAAGGCCCTTTCCTGTTTCAGCATGACAATGCCCCCGTGCACAAAGCAAGGTCCATACAGAAATGGTTTGTTGAGATTGGTGTGGAAGAACTTGACTGGCCTGAGGAGAGCCCTGACTTTAACTCCAATCGAACATCTTTGGGATGAATTGGAACGCCGACTGCGAGCCAGGCCTAATCGCCCAACATCAGTGTCCGACCTCACTAATGCTCTTCTGGCTGAATGGAAGCAAGTCTCCGCAGCAATGTTCCAACATCTAGTGGAAAGCCTTCCCAGAAGAGTGGAGGCTGTTATAGCAGCAAAGGGGGGACCAACTCCATATTAATGCTCATGATTTTGTAATGAGATGTTCGAAGAGCAGGTGTCCACATACTTTGGTCATGTAGTGTATGTGGTGTGGTTGGGGTGGAGATATGTGGTCTGATTGGGGTGGAGTTATGTGGTCTGATTGGGGTGGAGTTATGTGGTCTGATTGGGGTGGAGTTATGTGGTCTGATTGGGGTGGAGTTATGTGGTCTGATTGGGGTGGAGTTATGTGGTCCAATCAGATCCCTTGGCGTAGAATACATATGAGACCTATCTCTCTACTCACCAATAGGAGTATATAGACCTATCTCTCTACTCACCAATAGGAGTATATAGAACTATCTCTCTACTCACCAATAGGAGTATCGGGCTCATCCTCCTCCTCCTCAGTACCATCATCTGATGACAAAACATCCGATTATTATCAAGATTATAAGATTATTATATCCGATTATTCGAAATATAGTATCAGTTTTATGCTATGTTATGTGTTATGTCATGTTATGCCATCTTCTGTCATGTTATGTAATGTTATGTCATTATTTTACGTCACCATGAATCCCAGCACAGGTGGCGTTGCAGGCCTGATGGTCGATGAACCGGTTCCCGTTCCCCACACAGCCGGTCCAGTGGAACTTCTTACACTTTGAGTGGATGGGGTCGTAGTAGTAGCGCAGGTAGGTACCGTAGCATTCCCCCAGAGCCTTCCTGTAGTGGCAGGCCTTTGACTCTGGACAGGGGGAAGGAGAAGGGGTTAGGGGTTAGGGTAGGGAGAGAGACTAACCATTAATCACACACTAAGAAGACTTCAGTGGATATTTTCAAATGATGTGATTTCCGTGTAGGTTCAATTTGGAGGTTTCACACAGATCAGTAGTTATATTTGTTCAACCGATTTTAAAAAAGTTGTCCCTGACGTGACATTGTTCTGGGTGTTGTTACTATGTTGTGCCACATGGTGGCACATTGCAATTAAGGAAAACGTTCTGCTGCACATTAGTACACGGTTGCGTTAGTGCTTCTACTGTAAACCAGGGATCGTCAACCAGATTCAGTCGTGGGCCGATTTACCTTGAGCGGATGGTCGGGGGGCCGGAACATAGTTATAAATAATTTGTACACTACAAATTGACCTCAAGAATCCCAAACAGATATAGTATTGGACTATAACATAATCATTTCAGACCTTGACGATGTTGGGATACGATCACATGTGGCTCTCTATTTATGAGTGGGAATACCTGGGAACAGAATTCCTAAATAAAATGTATTGGTGATTTGACAGTCTTCTATGTCTAACAACGATTTCTAAAAATATATATAATTACATTTGCTCAGAAAACTTAGGAGGGGGAAATAAAATCACCCGCAGTCCAAATTTAGCCCTGAGATCAGTAGTAGGCTTTGAATGAGTTACTCTTCTCATTTCAGACATTATGGATGATCTCTGCCTCACATTTAGGTGGTAAAAACTCAAACACCCAAAAAAAAATTAGAACGGAAAGTAAAAATATGAGAGCTATTATATTATCTAGATATATATATATATATATAGATATATCTAATATATATATATATATATATAGTAGAGAGAGAGGGAGAGAGAGAGAGAGAGAGAGAGAGAGAGAGAGAGAGAAGAGGAGGAGAGAGACGAGAGAGAGAGAGAGAGAGGGAGAGAAAAGAAGAGAGATATAGAGAGAAGAGAGAGAAGAGAGAGAGATAGGGAAGAGGGAGAAGAAGAAGAGAGAGAGAGAGATAGAAAGACAGCAAGAAGATAAAGAGAGATAGAGAGTAGATAGAGAGAGGAAAGAGAGAAGGAGAGAGGGAAGAAGAGAGAGAGAGAGAGAGAGAGAAGAGAGAGAGAGAGATAGAGAGAGAGGAGAAGAGAGCGAAGAGAGGGAGAGAGATAGCGAGAGAGCAGAGATCGAGATATAGGTAGATATCTAGAGATATATATACGATCTCGATAGCTCTCGTCTCTAGTGATCTCTCTCTTCTCTCTCTTTCTCTCTCTCTCCCTCTCTCCTGAAACACACCCCACCATCCCACCACCTACATAGGTGTCATAGCAGGGGCAATAGAAACGACTTCCTCTGTAGATATGGTACTCCAAAGTCCTTGTTTATGGCCATAGCACAGTAAAGCCCTTGTTTATGGCCATAGCACAATAGAGGGTGTTTTCTGTGCTGTAATAACCGGAAAACATAATGAACAGAACACTGTGTCCGCCTGCTATGTCTGTATCTACCAATAGGATTTAATGAACAGAACACCGTGTCCACCTGCTATGTCTGTATCTACCAATAGGATTTAATGAACAGAACACTGTGTCCGCCTGCTATGTCTGTATCTACCAATAGGATTTAATGAACAGAACACTGTGTCCACCTGCTATGTCTGTATCTACCAATAGGATTTATTGAACAGAACACTGTGTCCACTTATCCTCTTCCTATGATGAATGTGTCCAGTGAATGCACAGAAGCCTTGACAGATATTTATTTGATTTATTAGGATCCCCATTAGCCGACGCCAATGGGGACAGCTAGTCTTACTGGGGTCTGACACGTAATGAAAAAGACATTACAGACAAAATACTTTACAATTTATATACATTTAAAAACATGAACATGTAATGTGTTTGTGTGCATCTATCAGTGACACACACATGTCAGTACACACACACAACAAGTAGGTCACATGGGGGGAGAGGAGTTGTGCCGTGAGGGGTTGCTTTTGAGAGGACAGGGTCTGGACTGGTTATAGTCTCCTACCTGTATTAATGATTAAATGTGTGTTATCTCACCATCCACTGGATAGATCTCCTCTGCCCTGGCGGAACAGTTCCTCATGCAGATTCTCTCCAGGGTGAAGCGGTTGGCGTTGCCCCCCTCGCCCAGGTACTTGAAGGGGTAGCACAGGTCTTTAGAGGCATCATAATACAGCATGATCTGGAAGTCCTCTGCTCCTGACACTGGGGCTGTACCCACGTCCTGTGGTAGGAAACAGTACTCTGTGGAGAGGAGAGGGGGGGGGTTAGAAGACAAGAACAGTACACTGTGGAGTGGGGGGGGGGTGGGGGGTTTACAACGTTGAGTTGCCCTGGTTGTGTCAATATACAGTAACGTTGAGTTGCCCTGGTCATGTCAGTATACAGTCACTTTAAAGATAAACCACTCCCTAAAATCCAACTTGATCATTTAGAAAACAGCCTATAATTTAGAAAACAGCCTATGTGACATCGATATGAGTCAGAATGATGATTACTTGGCAGCACACTTGTAATCATCAATTTGGAGTGCAGCTGCATGTGACCTGATTGTAATGCCTGTGTTAAACTTGGGTTGACTTTGGATATCCCTATGGGGCTAGTTAGGGACCATCGGTAAATTACACTATGTACATGGGACAATATGTAAAAATTCCAATAGCTCCAAATTACAATTACTTAACAACCTCAAACCAATTATAAATTGTAGTAATTCATATACAAATATTGAAAGCATTTAATTAGAAAACAAAAAGGTGCGCAACATGAAAATATTGTCTCATTTACGTTGTTGTCACGATCGTCGTAATGAGTGGACCAAGGCGCAGCGTGAAATGCGTACATCTTTTATTGAGTACTATTAACAATAACAAAACAACAAAACGAAACGTGAAGTCCTCGGTCATAAACACAAACCTACACGGAACAAGATCCCACAAAAGACAAGTGCACAACAGGCTGCCTAAGTATGGTTCCCAATCAGAGACAACGAGCCACAGCTGTCTCTAATTGGGAACCACCCCGGCCAACATAGAAACACATAAACTAGAACAAGAACATAGAAAACGAAACATAGAACATAACACCCAGAAACTAACACATAGAAACTAACACCCTGGCTCAACATATAAAAGTCCCCATAGCCAGGGCGTGACAGTTGTGTAATTTATTGATGGTCCCTAACTAGCCCCAGAGATAAGCTATCCAAAGTCAAAGTTTGGTCGCCAACCAGCCGGCTGAAGCTAATTGCCGAAATCATTTGGTTAAATCTTCCCACTTGCGAACACACACACGAGACACCCACATCAAACCACACCCCGAAACCAACTCAATTTTGAATTCAGTCAGGCCGCTAGCATTTCTCAATGAACCAAATCTAAAACTAGGCCAAATCAGGAAGTGCTAGGCCAAATCAGGAAGTGCTAGGCCAAATCAGGAAGTGCTGTCACCCTAATGACTTTGCTCTACCGTGCTACCTTTCGTATGAGCCAAGGAGGAGGACCGATGAGAACAGCAGGCCAGTGGAGCACAGAACAGCAGGCCAGTGGAGCACAGAGCGGCAGGCCAGTGGAGCACAGAACAGCAGGCCAGTGGAGCACAGAACAGCAGGCCAGTGGAGCACAGAACAGCAGGCCAGTGGAGCACAGAACAGCAGGCCAGTGGAGCACAGAACAGCAGGCCAGTGGAGCACAGAACAGCAGGCCAGTGGAGCACAGAGCGGCAGGCCAGTGGAGCACAGAACGGCAGGCCAGTGGAGCGCAGAACAGCAGGCCAGTGGAGCACAGAACAGCAGGCCAGTGGAGCACAGAACAGCAGGCCAGTGGAGCACAGAACAGCAGGCCAGTGGAGCACAGAACGGCAGGCCAGTGGAGCACAGAACAACAGCAGCCAGGGGTGACTGGTAGGGAAGAGGACTATACAGGTGACCCAGACACAGGCCCGAAACAAGTTAAGCTACCCCAGTATCCCTTTGATCGTTTTGGATCGCAAAACTAAAGAGATACGCAAGACAAAAGACAGCAACAGAATAATATATGGTGGAGAGAGACACCAGACAAGACACAGAGACAGTAACAGAAGAATAGGTGACCTAGACCTCCAGAGAGAGATGAAATGAAGATGGTCTAGACCTCCAGAGAGAGATGAAATGAAGATGGCGTCCAACCTTCCCCTCCTCATCCACTAGCCCAGTCTAACTGGCGTCCAACCTTCCCCTCCTCATCCACTGCCACAGCTAACTGCGTCCAAACCTTCCCTCCTCATCCACTAGCCACAGTCTAACTGGCGTCCAACCTTCCCCTCCTCATCCACTAGCCACAGTCTAACTGGCGTCCAACCTTCCCCTCCTCATCCACTAGCCACAGTCTAACTGGCGTCCAACCTTCCCCTCCTCATCCACTAGCCACAGTCTAACTGGCGTCCAACTTCCCTCCTCATCCACTAGCCACAGTCTAACTGGCGTCCAACCTTCCCCCCCTCATCCACACCCACAGTTAATGCGTCCAACCCCCCCTCCTACCCAAATAGCCACAGTCTAACTGGCGTCCAACACTTCCCCCCTCATCCATAGCCACAGTCAACTGGTCCAACCTTCCCCTCTCACCAACCCAAAGTCAAACGGGCCAACCCCCTCCACACACTAGCCAAGTTAAAATGGCCCAACTTCCCTCCATCCACAGCCACAGTAAAACTGGCGCCAAACTTCCCCTCCTCATCAACTAGCCACAGTTAACTAAATCCCTGTACAACTACGTTTAAAAACAACACAACTTAAACCAATCGATACCTGAACCACCCCCCCCCCCCCCCCCCCCACCCCCCCCCCCCCCCCCCCCCCCCCCCCCCCCCCCCCCCCCCCCCCCCCCCCCCCCCCCCCCCCCCCCACACACCCCCACGGGTAACTGTTTAGTGTGAAAAACCCAGCAGCATTGCAGTTTTTGACACAAATACTACCATACCCCGTTCAAAGGCCTTGAACAACATAAAACATATTGGGGTAAGCTGACTATAAATATCATTCTATAGGTTTTTGAAATATTTCCAGATGTTATTAGACCAAGACAACCATAACAACATACAGCAGGGAGTTCGAATACGATCAGAAAACTGCAGACAGGTTATATAGCTGAAGACAGCTGAAAATGACTGGCCATCACTTATTGCATTAGTCATCTCAGGGATCCTACTTGGAAACGTCACAGAGAAGCATTTTCCGTTTTTTTATTCATTACTAATCACTAATCAGTCAATAGACATTAAATCATAAAATGTAAATACAACTGTGTGACATCACTAAATACTTCATAATAACAACCCAAATGTTAAAAGTGGCAGAGTTGTCCTTTAAGGTCTGTAGAAATTAGCCGTGCTCCCAGTCTGGGTTAGATTGAGGTTGTTGAGAACCTTCCTGGAGGAAACCCCTATTGCTCAATATGTCGCTTTTATTCAAATGGTTATTCTCATAGTATCTGTTTAACAGTGATTTCCTGTACTGATGTATCCGCTGCATGCCTTCCATACAGAATCTGCAGTGTTTGGATCCGCCAGGCACCACACTAGAAGCCTTTATGGGGTCATAAAACGTCTAAAATACAAGAAGTAGCGTTCTCTGTAAACGCCGACTCCTTGACTGCAGGACAACGACTTCCAAAACAAACCACCTCCTTTCATCACAGCCACCACCTTTCATGGCAGCCTCTCAGCTTTACCCCGTGGCGCTAGGACGCAGACCCCATTAACCCTAGAGACTCTCAGCTTTACCCCGTGGCGCTAGGACGCAGACCCCATTAACCCTAGAGACTCTCAGCTTTACCCCGTGGCGCTAGGACGCAGACCCCATTAACCCTAGAGACTCTCAGCTTTACCCCGTGGCGCTAGGACGCAGACCCCATTAACCCTAGAGACTCTCAGCTTTACCCCGTGGCGCTAGGACGCAGACCCCATTAACCCTAGAGACTCTCAGCTTTACCCCGTGGCGCTAGGACGCAGACCCCATAACCATAGGCCCAGGGCGGCGCTGCAGTGTTCGCGCTCCCCGTGCTACTGCTGCTACTGCAAAAGGTTCCCATTCTCCTAAAAAACGAATCATGACTAATGTTGTATAGCTTGTCTTATACACACACCACAGGCTATACTGGATGTCTAAGACAAGCTGGTCTGTCTGTATTATTAGGTCTTGATCTAAAGTGAAACCTTCAACTGTCAGTGAATCCGCCACGTTGTCAAGAGTGAGACTGTCAGGGATCATAAACTATTTGAATGAGAACCTTTGTACTCCCAGTTCCATCCAATGTTTAAACTAAACGCAGAATCTTAGAATGTGTAACATATTGAAAATAGCACATGAGTAACTAAATTCATTGATTCAATTCATAAATATTGTGGACATATTTTAATATTTTTTATATTGAATAAAATGTGTGTTTGATTTCTTTGCCCTCCCGCCCAAACTCAGCTGAGGTTGAAGTGAAGCACAGACTCCCTTATTTCAAATGGAAGAGGAGGAAACAAATGTTTGATGCTACAACGAAGCTGTAAAATAACCGTTTTAAGACCACTCTATAAGCAGAGAACGGTAGACAGATTTATTACAGTCTTCAAATCAAACTGTATTAAAGACAGAACATTGACTGAGGTATTCACAACCTGGTACTGACAGAACATTGACTGAGGTATTCACAACCTGGTACTGACAGAACAGTGACTGAGGTATTCACAACCTGGTACTGACAGAACAGTGACTGAGGTATTCACAACCTGGTACTGACAGAACAGTGACTGAGGTATTCACAACCTGGTACTGACAGAACAGTGACTGAGGTATTCACAACCTGGTACTGACAGAACAGTGACTGAGGTATTCACAACCTGGTACTGACAGAACAGTGACTGAGGTATTCACACAGACATACTAAATGATTGAACATACCTGGTATTTCACTGTGAACCATGAAGAATGTAGCAAAAACAAAAACACAAAATATGACCAGTTGTTTCATGATGCTGTCTGTGTGTGTTCGCTGTTCGCTGTAGTCTCCAGGAGAGTGAATGATGGTTGTAAACTACAATGGGAGTGGAGGTTTGCACATCATCACCACCGACCTTCGTACTCATCACTGATACCAGGGCTGTGTCCCAACAGGGGGGCAGGTACAATAAGGATATGTACAGTGGGGGGGAAAAAAAGTATTTAGTCAGCCACCAATTGTGCAAGTTCTCCCACTTAAAAAGATGAGAGAGGCCTGTAAATTTCATCATAGGTACACGTCAACTATGACAGACAAAATGAGGAAAGAAATTCCAGAAAATCACATTGTAGGATTTTTAATGAATTTATTTGCAAATTATGGTGGAAAATAAGTATTTGGTCAATACTTTGTTATATACCCTTTGTTGGCAATGACACAGGTCAAACGTTTTCTGTAAGTCTTCACAAGGTTTTCACACACTGTTGCTGGTATTTTGGCTCATCTTTTTAAGTGGGAGAACTTGCACAATTGGTGGCTGACTAAATACTTTTCCCCCCCACTGTAGGTGCTGATAGAAGAATTAGGTAATGACTAATTATTACACTCCACTTTGTGAAATGTATTAAGAATAATAATAAAGCTTAGTTAGAAGGTAAACAAGGGCTGTGGCTTATCTTTAGATCTATGCAAGTGGAAAGCAACTGTGAATCCGATAACAGAAAACAAGATGTGAAACTTGTCCCCACGGTATGTGCCTGTATAAGATGCATATCTGCCCAGCAATAGAATATTTGTGTCTGCTGAACATAGAGTATTTGTGACTTCTGAAACCAGTACAGGAAGAGACAACTAGGTTGCTGCCCTCCCGAGTGGTGCAGTGGTCTAAGGCACTGCATCGCAGTGCTAGCTGTGCCACTAGAGATCCTGGTTCGAATCCAGGCTCTGTCGTAGCCGGCCGAGACTGGGAGACTCATGGGGCGGCGCGCAATTCGTCCAGGGTAGGGGAGGGAATGGCCGGCAGGGATGTAGCTTAGTTGGTAGAGCATGGCGTTTGCAACGGGATTATTTTAGATACTCTTTGAAGAGGTAGGGTTTCCGATGTTTTGGGAAGATGGGCAGGGACTCTGCTGTCCTAACTTTAGGGGGAAGCTGGTTCCTCCATTGGGGTGCCAGAACAGAGAAGAGCTTGGACTGGGCTGAGTGGGAGCTGCCCTCCTGTAGGGGTGGGAGGGCCAAGAGACCAGAGGTGGCAGAACAGAGTGCTCATGTTGGGGTGTAGGGTTTGAGCAGAGCCTGAAGGTATGGAGGGGCAGTTCCTATTGCTGTTCTGTAGGTAAGCACCATGGTCTTGAAGTGGATGTGAGCTTCAACTGGAAGCCAGTGGAGTGTGTGGAGGAGCGGGGCGACATGGGAGAACTTGGGAAGGTGTAAAGTACTTAAGTAAAAATAATTTATATTACTACTTAAGTCGTTTTTATGGTGGGTATCTGTACTGTACTTTACTATTTATATTTTTGACAACTTTTACTTTTACTTCACTACATTCATAAAGAAAATAATGTACTTTTTACTCCATACATTTTCCCTGACATCCAAAAGTACTCGTTACATTTTGAATGCTTAGCAGGACAGGAAAATGGTCCAATTCACACACTTATCAAGAGAACATCCCTACTGCCTCTGATCTGGCGGACTCACTAAACACGAATGCTTTGTTTGTAAATGATGTCTGAGTGTTGGAGTGTGCCCCTGGCTATCTGTAAATTAAAAAAACAAGAAAATGGTGCCTTCTGGTTTGCTTAATATAAGGAATATGAAACGATTTATACTTTGACTTTTGATACTTAAGTATATTTTAGCAATTATATTTACTTTTGATACTTAAGTATATTTAAAACCAAATACTTTTAGACTTTTACTCAAGTAGTATTGTATTGGGTGACATTCACTTTTACTGGAGTCATTTTCTATTAAGGTATCTTTACTTTTACTCAAGTATGACAATTGGGTACTTTTTCCACCACTATGTAGTTGATGCGAGCTTCGACTAGAAGCCAGTGGAGTGTGCGGCGGAGCGGGGTGACATGGGAGAACTTGGGAAGGTTGAACACCAGGCGGGCAGCAGCGTTCTGGATAAGTTGCAAGAGTTTGATGGCAGAAGCGGGGAGCCCAGCCAACAGCGAGTTGCAGTAGTCCAGACTGGAGATGACAAGTACCTGGATTAGGACCTGCGCCGCTTCCTGTGTGAGGTAGGGTCGTACCCTGCGCCGCTTCCTGTTCTCTACGGATGTTGTAGAGCATGAACCTGCAGGAACGAGTTTGCAGAGAACGACAGGGTGTTGTCCAGGATCACGCCAAGGTTCTTTGCACTCTGGGAGAGCAACACTGTGGAGTTGTCAACCATGATGGAGAGGTCATTGAGCGGGCAGGTCTTCCCTGGGAGGAAGAGCAGCTCCGTCTTGTCGAGGTTGAGCTTGAGGTGGTGGGCCGACATCCAAGCTGAGATATCTGCCAGGCACACAGAGATGGGTCGCCACCTGGGTGTCAGAAGAGGGGAAGGAGAAAAGTAGTTGAGTGTCATCCGCATAGCAATGATAGGAGAGACCATGTGATCCAAGAGTGTGCAGAGCCTGAGACACCCAGCCCTGAGAGGGTGGAGAGAAGGATCTGATGGTTGACAGTTTCGAAGGCAGCGGATAGATCTAGGAGGATGACAACAGGGCACTTGGGCCCCGTGTAGCTCAGTTGGTAGAGCATGGCGTTTGCAACACCAGTGTTGTGGATTCGTTTCCCACGGGGGGCCAGTATGAAAAATGTATGCACTCACTAACTGTAAGTCGCTCTGGATAAGAGCGCCTGCTAAATGACTAAAAAAAAACAGAGGAGAGAGAGTCAGCTTTGGCAGTGTGGAGAGCCTCCGTGACACAGAGGAGAGCAGTCTCGGTTGAGTGACCCGTCTTGAAGCCTGACTGGTTAGGGCCAAGAAGATAGTTCTGAGAGAGATAATGAGAGAGTTGGTCAGAGACAGAACGCTCAAGTGTTTTGGAAAGAAAAGAAAGAAGGGATACAGGTCTGTAGTTTTTTACGTCAGATGAGTCAAGTGTTGGTTTCTTGAGGAGAGGAGTGACAGCCATAGGAGTTGGCTACAGACAGATCTGGGAACAGGCTATAAACAATATCTGGGAACAGGCTATAAACAATATCTGGGAACAGGCTAGAAACAATATCTGGGAACAGGCTAGAAACAATATCTGGGAACAGGCTAGAAACAATATCTGGGAACAGACTCTTCACTGTAACATATTGAGTAATAAAGTGTTACACAGCCCATCCCTTTACTGCACACATTAGGACTGAGTCAGGAAACACAGCACATCCCATCCCTTTACTGCACACATTAGGACTGAGTCAGGAAACACAGCACATCCCATCCCTTTATAGTACACATTAGGACTGAGTCAGGAAACACAGCACATCCCATCCCTTTATAGTACACATTAGGACTGAGTCAGGAAACACAGCACATCCCATCCCTTTATATTACACATTACGACTGAGTCAGGAAACACACTACCATAAACTACCTAGACTTGATGAACCAACACTACCATAATCTACCTAGACTTGATGAACCAACACTACCATAATCTACCTAGACTTGATGAACCAACACTACCATAAACTACCAAGACTTGATGAACCAACACTACCATATACTAACTAGACTTGATGAACCAACACTACCATAAACTACCTAGACTTGTAGTTGTTGACATAATAATGATTGCATTCTAATGTGCTATTATGGGTTATTCATGTGTTAAATTAGGAATTCCTTGTGTGGGTACCCTTCCATTAAAGTGTTACCTGAATTTCATACCAATGTCATCATATTCTTAACCCTATTGTTGGGCATACATACAACTGGAAACAAATGTCAATAGATTATAGTGTTAATGGTTTGTGATCAGAGCTGGTTGGGGTCAGAGCTGGTTGGGGTCAGAGCTGGTTGGGGTCAGAGCTGGTTGGGGTCAGAGATGGTTGGGGTCAGAGATGGTTGGGGTCAGAAGTGGTTGGGGTCAGAGGTGGTTGGGTCAGAGCTGGTTGGGGTCAGAGATGGTTGGGTCAGAGATGGTTGGGGTCAGAGATGGTTGGGGTCAGAAGTGGTTGGGGTCAGAGGTGGTTGGGTCAGAGCTGGTTGGAGTCAGAGGTGGTTGGGGTCAGAGGTGGTTGGGGTCAGAGGTGGTTGGGGTCAGAGGTGGTTGGGGTCAGAGGTGGTTGGGGTCAGAATTGGTTGGGGTCAGAGGTGGTTGGGGTCAGAGGTGGTTGGGGTCAGAGGTGGTTGGGGTCAGAAGTGGTTGGGGTCAGAGGTGGTTGGGGTCAGAAGTGGTTGGGGTCAGAAGTGGTTGGGGTCAGAAGTGGTTGGGGTCAGAGGTGGTTGGGGTCAGAGCTGGTTGGGGTCAGAAGTGGTTGGGGTCAGAGGTGGTTGGGGTCAGAGATGGTTGGGGTCAGAAGTGGTTGGGGTCAGAGGTGGTTGGGGTCAGAGGTGGTTGGGGTCAGAGATGGTTGGGGTCAGAGATGGTTGGGGTCAGAGGTGGTTGGGGTCAGAGCTGGTTGGGGTCAGAGGTGGTTGGGGTCAGAAGTGGTTGGGGTCAGAGGTGGTTGGGGTCAGAGCTGGTTGGGGTCAGAGGTGGTTGGGGTCAGAAGTGGTTGGGGTCAGAGGTGGTTGGGGTCAGAGCTGGTTGGGGTCAGAGCTGGTTGGGGTCAGAAGTGGTAGCATGGGATACCCAACCACACAGGCACTTCCTGGAGCAGTAAAGAAGAACCTGGTCATCAGGCCATGGTGACGGAGAATTAGAGCCCCATGTTGACTGTCTCTCAGCTGTTTGTCTGTTAGGCTACATGATTCCAGTTGCTCAGATGGGGTGCCAGGACATAGTGGAGATTATGGTCCCAGACCATGATGCTCTTATCCAATGTGCAAACCACTGCCGTTGTGCCCTTGTGTACCATCCAGGAGTGCTGCACCGCTGCAACATGTGTGTGTATCTGTTGGCATTGGGGAAAAGGCAGACACATCTATTCTAACGAAATGGCCAATAAAGTATAGATTTCTTCTATTCTATTGTAAAAATATGAAAAAATAACAGTAAATAATAGGGTATATTTAAACAGAATTATCCATAATGAAATCTTACTGTGAGTGCATGTGGTAGGCTATTCAACGCCTAGCATTGCAATAGCCTATATGTCATGCCACTGTTCTGTATGTTGTGGGAGTTTCTGGAATTCTGACGCGCTGGAATTCTCGTGACAACTTGGAGAGCCCCACAGTTCCATAATTCCACCCGTAGACGTGTCCGCTGCATGTCGGAGAAATCTCACTGCATCTGCGCTATTCTGTAGTCCTGTAATGGCTAGTGTGTCTACAGATTTTGATGACGTTTTCCACAAGGCGCAAAGTGTTGAGTGTGCATAATTACCAGTTGCGATCGTTGCTGATTCTGACCTGTCACAGGGGACGGGGGACGGAGGGACGACGACGATGACACACCGGGGGCTGGGTTGTTGTGGCTCTGACGTCATGGCGAGGCGCTATGATGAAGCCGACGGACTTCCATAAAAGTCGGTGCGTCTCACGCGTCTGCTAGAAGATTGTTCCTGTGGTGTCTTCTGAAGTGGACCTGTGAAGAGACAGAACGATGCAGACCCAGAAACAGAACCTCTCATCTCTTCTGATTGCTGTGGGAACTCTGTTCTCCGGACTGCATGGTAAGAATAACAGGATGATGAACCTGGACTTGGCTCAAAGTTTTTAGGATGTTGTAGACTTGATCAAATTGGTCCAACTCTGATGAGGAACGTTTAAGCAGCTTATATGCAGTGTACAAGGCTATGGCTGTTGTTGTTGTTATCATATGCATTAATGTTTAAAACAAATAGAAAATATGCTTCTGTAACCTGGTACCAGATTGACCTCTGTTAACCTACAGGATGAGTAGAAATATATCAATGTTTCATGATATCAAATATTGCCTTCATCTAAAAAAGACACTATGAACTTTGGTTTGAGTGATTGTAATCAGAAAGTATTTATCTTCAATTGAGCTATTGATAAACGATGAATAATCAAGACCAGTTATGTGTCGTTGTCTTTCACACCCTTATTCACAGTAATGATGGAAACAGATGGTGTGAGAGATGCAGGGAAGCTGAGGTGCCTGAAGGCAGGTGTAATTCCTATCCATGTTGAATCCTATTCAGCTGATGATACAGTAGTTACTCTGTTTGGGTCCATCAGTTCAGCTGATAATAGGCTAGTGTTTGGGTCAGTTGGTTTGCTTGGTACTGAAACTAACTGGTACGGACCAGAGCGGCAGGTTTTAGCCAATGGGAAGACCAGAGCAGTAGGTTTTAGCCAATGGGAAGTAGCTTGTCTTGGAATAATACAGCAGGCAGACACTTTTATCCAAACAACAGTAGCCTTCAGTAGCCTTCAGCATCCTTCAGTAGCTTTCAGCATCCTTCAGTAGCCTTCAGCATCCTTCAGTAGCCTTCAGCATCCTTCAGTAGCCTTCAGTAGCCTTCAACATCCTTCAGTAGCCTTCAGCATCCTTCAGTAGCCTTCAACATCCTTCAGCAGCCTTCAGTAGCCTTCAGTATTCTGATGTATCCTTCAGTATCCTTTAGTGGGTGCATACATTTTTTGTAGGAATACGTGATTTCTGCGGGAATTCAACCCCCAACCTTTGAATTGCTAGCACCACAAACAGGAATGCCTTCTTTCTCAAGTTTTAGCCAGTGGGAAGACCAGAGCAGTAGGTTTTAGCCAATGGGAAGTATTTTGTCTTGGAATAATACAGCAGGCAGACACTTTTATCCAAACAACAGTAGCCTTCAGTAGCCTTCAGTAGACTTCAGCATCCTTCAGTAGACTTCATTAGCCTTCAGTAGCCTTCAGCATCCTTCAGTAGCCTTCAGCATCCTTCAGTAGCCTTCAGCATCCTTCAGCATCCTTCAGTAGCCTTCAGCATCCTTCAGTAGACTTCATTAGCCTTCAGTAGCCTTCAGCATCCTTCAGTAGCCTTCAGCATCCTTCAGCAGCCTTCAGTAGTCTTCAGCATCCTTCAGTAGCCTTCAGCATCCTTCAATAGCCTTCAGTAGCCTTCAGTAGCCTTCAGCATCCTTCGGTAGCCTTCAGCGTCCTTCAGCATCCTTCAGTAGCCTTCAGCAGCCTTCAGTAGCTTTCAGTAGCCTTCAGTAGCCTTAAGTAGCCTTCAGCATCCTTCAGTAGCCTTCAGCATCCTTCAGTAGACTTCATTAGCCTTCAGCATCCTTCAGTAGCCTTCAGTAGCCTTCAGCATCCTTCAGTAGCCTTCAGCGTCCTTCAGCATCCTTCAGTAGCCTTCAGCAGCCTTCAGTAGCTTTCAGTAGCCTTCAGCAGCCTTCAGTAGCCTTCAGCATCCTCCAGTGGCCTTCAACATCCTTCAGTAGCCTTCAGTAGTCTTCAGCAGCCTTCAGTAGCCTTCAGCGTCCTTCAGCATCCTCCAGTGGCCTTCAACATCCTTCAGTAGCCTTCAGTAGTCTTCAGCAGCCTTCAGTAGCCTTCAGTATTCTGATGTATCCTTCAGTATCCTTTAGTGGGTGCATACATTTTTTGTAGGAATACGTGATTTCTGCGGGAATTGAACCCCCGACCTTTGTATTGCTAGCGCCACAAACAGGAATGCCTTCTCTCTCAGTGCAAGGATTTTTAGTACTGTATGAGTATGTGATCCCTGTGGGAATTGAACCCATGACCTTGATGCTAACTCTATTGGAGGGATGCGACTCCATTTTTACACAAGAAAATCCATATTTTGGTGTTTTGTTGATGTTGTTGGAAAACGTTTTCTCAGGCACCGCTCCAGAATCTCCCATAAGTGTTCAGTTGGGTTGGTTTACATAGTGTTCACCAAACCATTCACTCAGGCCCTGTGGATGGGGGCAGACACCACTCCCATCAGGCCCTGTGGATGGGGCAGACACCACTCCCATCAGGCCCTGTGGATGGGGGCAGACACCACTCCCATCAGGCCCTGTGGATGGGGGCAGACACCACTCCCATCAGGCCCTGTGGATGGGGGGAGACACCACTCCCATCAGGCCCTGTGGATGGGGGCATTGTGATACTGGAAGTCACTCAGGCCCTGTGGATGGGGGCATTGTGATACTGGAAGTCACTCAGGCCCTGTGTATGGGGGCATTGTGATACTGGAAGTCACTCAGGCCCTGTGTATGGGGGCATTGTGATACTGGAAGACACTCAGGCCCTGTGTATGGGGGCATTGTGATACTGGAAGTCACTCAGGCCCTGTGTATGGGGGCATTGTGATACTGGAAGACACTCAGGCCCTGTGTATGGGGGCATTGTGATACTGGAAGTCACTCAGGCCCTGTGGATGGGGCATTGTGATACTGGAAGACACCACTCCCATCAGGATTGAAATGATTCACCATAGGAGGTGATCCCTCAGAGTGGCTGTTTCCGTTGCCCTCTAAGGGGTTGAGTGGACCTAAACCATGTCAGGAAAATTTACCCCACACCATTTACTAAAGTGTTTCCATTATTTGGGCAGTTACATCAGATCAGACTAATATCTCATCATATAACGATGATGCACTAAATATCTTTCTGTTTCTGTTTCAGGTGCTAAATGGGCATACACTGGTAAGTGGATTATTTATTTCTGGCTAATAACTGTGTTGTAGAGAGGTCTGAAGATAACATGGTAATGTAGAGATAACATGGTAATGTAGAGATAACATGGTGGTGTAGAGATAACATGGTGGTATAGAGATAACATGGTGGTGTAGAGATAACATGGTGATGTAGAGATAACATGGTGGTGTAGAGATAACATGGTGGTGTAGAGATAACATGGTGATGTAGAGATAACATGGTGATGTAGAGATAACATGGTGGTGTAGAGATAACATGGTGGTATAGAGATAACATGGTGGTGTAGAGATAACATGGTGGTGTAGAGATAACATGGTGATGTAGAGATAACATGGTGGTATAGAGATAACATGGTGGTATAGAGATAACATGGTGATGTAGAGATAACATGGTGATGTAGAGATAACATGGTGATGTAGAGATAACATGGTGGTGTAGAGATAACATGGTGGTATAGAGATAACATGGTGGTATAGAGAGGTCTGAAGATAACATGGTGGTGTAGAGATAACATGGTGGTGTAGAGATAACATGGTGATGTAGAGATAACATGGTGGTATAGAGATAACATGGTGGTATAGAGATAACATGGTGATGTAGAGATAACATGGTGGTGTAGAGATAACATGGTGGTGTAGAGATAACATGGTGGTGTAGAGATAACATGGTGGTGTAGAGATAACATGGTGATGTAGAGATAACATGGTGGTGTAGATATAACATGGTGGTGTAGAGATAACATGGTGATGTAGAGATAACATGGTGGTGTAGAGATAACATGGTGGTGTAGAGATAACATGGTGATGTACAGATAACATGGTGGTGTAGAGATAACATGGTGGTGTAGAGATAACATGGTGGTATAGAGATAACATGGTGGTGTAGAGATAACATGGTGGCGTAGAGATAACATGGTGGTATAGAGAGGTCTGAAGATAACATGGTGGTGTAGAGATAACATGGTGGTGTAGAGATAACATGGTGGTGTAGAGATAACATGGTGATGTAGAGATAACATGGTGGTGTAGAGATAACATGGTGATGTAGAGATAACATGGTGGTGTAGAGATAACATGGTGGTGTAGAGATAACATGGTGGTATAGAGATAACATAATAATATAATAATAATATGCCATTTAGCAGACGCTTTTATCCAAAGCGACTTACAGTCATGCGTGCATACATTTTTGTGTATGGGTGGTCCCGGGGATCGAACCCACTACCTTGGCGTTACAAGCGCCGTGCTCTACCAGCTGAGCTACGATAACATGGTGATGTAGAGATAACATGGTGGTGTAGAGATAACATGATGGTGTAGAGATAACATGGTGGTGTAGAGATAACATGGTGGTATAGAGATAACATGGTGGTGTAGAGATAACATGGTGATGTAGAGATAACATGGTGGTGTAGAGATAACATGGTGGTGTAGAGATAACATGGTGGTATAGAGATAACATGGTGGTGTAGAGATACCATGGTGGTGTAGAGATAACATGGTGGTATAGAGATAACATGGTGGTGTAGAGATAACATGGTGGTGTAGAGATAATATGGTGGTGTAGAGATAACATGGTGATGAAGAGATAACATGGTGGTATAGAGATAACATGGTGGTGTAGAGATAACATGGTGGTGTAGAGATAACATGGTGGTATAGAGATAACATGGTGGTGTAGAGATAACATGGTGGTGTAGAGATAACATGGTGGTGTAGAGATAACATGGTGGTGTAGAGATAACATGGTGGTATAGAGATAACATGGTGGTGTAGAGAGGTCTGAAGATAACATGGTGGTGTAGAGATACCATGGTGGTGTAGAGATAACATGGTGGTATAGAGATAACATGGTGATGTAGAGA